GCTTTTTTTTTAATTGACATTTTCTTAGCAGGTGTTGAGTTCCTGGCCAGCTCATTTGCTATGTGTTTTGTTTAGAAAATTCTGCCCCTTTAGGATCTTTTGCGTGGTGGTGTTTTGTTGTTGTCATTTTGTTCTGTTTAAGACCATCATAAATCCTGCTTGCAATATGAGGGTTACTTGAGCTCTTACCTGTATTTTTTCCATTAATAGTACCTTTCATAGAATACTGATAATAGATAAGTGGGAACCTTGCTCAAGAAACTCCTAATTTTCCTATTCAGGGATACTTTTCACCTTTTCTTTGAGGGATAAGTCTTATTAATAAACACATACATGTCTCCTGGGTATCTCAAAACATAGCTAACTTGGTAAATATTTAGTAAAAAGTTGGAGTGTCTTTATATAGACACTTTAATATAGAAACTTGTTTCTATATTAAACTAGAATGAATTTACTTCAAAAGGTATCATAATTACTTCCTTCATACAAACTTCCTTTATCTTCCTTCAGAACTTGGCCCTTTGGAGGCAGCTAAGTGGCGCAGTGGATAGAGCACTGGCCCTAAAGTCAGGAGGACCTGAGTTCAAATCCCGTCTCAGACCAAGCACTTGACACTAACTGTGAGACCCTGGGCAAGTCACTTAACCCCAATTGCCAAAAAAAAAAAAAAAGAACTTGACCCTTTGGTTGTAATACTAGGTTGGGGGAAGGAGGTGCCAAGATGAACTTGGCACTAGATATGGCACTAGATATCAGTTAAATGGATTTCTCCATATAGCCTATTAAAATTGTCTGACTTCTTACTAGTTCACAGGGTGCAATTGCTTGGTAGAGAAATGTCAGAAGAAGTATTTTCATCTGTAACATGCCCTTCTCCATATTCAAATAGGCATAAACATAACAACCTTACCTCATTAGGTAGTTTACTTCTTGGGGAGTCTTACTTGAATTAGCTAATTTTGAGCACTTTTAAGAACAGTTGGTTCAACTTCTGATTTTGGTGTGCAGGTCCTCCTAAGGGTGTGTTAGATTAAGATAGAAGGGGGAGGCTTTCTTCTTATTATAATGGTGTCTGACAACCTGCTTTCTTGTCCCCGAGTAACTAGTTGTATGAGAAAGAAAATGCCACATTAGATGAGCTAACAAAGTGGGGGGGGAGTCTAAATTTGCTTAAGTGTCCATGGACAACTCACTTAATCTCTCTGAGCTACAGTTTTGCCATTTGTAAAATGAGAAGGTACACAACAACTACCCCACAAGATTATTTCGAGGAAAGTATTTTGTAAACTTTAAGTAACTTAGTATATATAAATGTGAGTTGTTGCTGTGTAGTCATTTATATTCTACTCTGTGCCAGACATGGTGATAGACACTGGAGATAAAAAGACTAAGAGTTAGAGTCCCTATCTTCAGAGAGCGTACATTCTACTGGGGGACAGGTATGGGATACAACTAGAACACTTATAAGTTAATACAGGAGATTTATAAAATAAATGTGGCATGATTGGTAGGGTGGGGGAAAGGTCAGGCAGGACTAATTACTGAGAAAACCAGAAAAGGCCTCTAGAAGAAGGTGGCATTTGAACTGAACCCTACAGGAAGCTGGGTAGGGGTCTGAAAAGGGAGGGCATTGCTGGCATAAGGGACTGAAAAGATACTGGGATTAGAGAAGAACTGCTATGTATGAAGCATAGCAGCAAGTAGACCACTCTGGCTGGAGCATAGAATGCATAAGAAGGAGTAAATATTGAAGGGCTTTAATTGCCTAATGGAGGTGTTTGTTTTTTATCTTAAGAGACCATTGGGAGCTACTGAAGCTTCTTGAACACAGGAATGACATGGTCAGATGTGCTCTTTAAAAGGAATATAATTTTGGCCACCATGTGGAAGGTGCTGAGCCCAGATATCTGGGCTTTTTGTAGTCTGGTCTTCCCAGGACCTCAGGAACAGATGTCCTTGGTTGAGGGTAATTGAACTGTAAGTTATGCTAGAATTATCTGGATCCATCCATAGAGGGAGGTGAGTTGGGGAGGGTGGGCATTAATTAATTTAAGAGATCTGAGATAGGATTGAGTGTTTCTTTTCTAAATTTTCTTCACTCTGTTTAAGCTAATACTTAATAGGATTGGTTCAGTGAGCAGAGAACAGTTAGGAGAAGCCCATGTTTGAGGTTTTCTCATTTTCCAAGTCATTCTGCTCCCACTTCTAAAAATTAGCATTCTAACATGACTCTTCCATAAAGGTACTATGTTAATGACATAGAAAGAGGCTTGTAGTTCCTAGGAATAAGCCAGCAGCTGTCTTGGCTATTTCCACAGTAACACAGGAGCTCCCTCCCACAGGAGGACCAGGCAATCAACATTCAATCTTATTTTTTACAGAGTAAGAGACATCCAGCGTTTTATGTAGGCAGACACTAGCTTAGATGTCCCTTAGATTACTTTGGAGCCATGGGACCAAAATGGAATAGCCCCCTTCACTTCCTTCTAGGGCATCTTTGGCCTTAAATTAGATGGATGACTAGGATGAGTAGTTATAGGAGACTTATCACTATTTTAGGAGAATTGTCACTATTTTTGAATTACTGGTAACCTACCCTCTCTACCTACATATCAAATGAAGCAGTTACCTTCCGATTCCCAAGACCAGGAGTAGATGTCCTTCACCGTGCCCAGAAGCTGTAATTTCTCTGTTGGCTCTGTTACTCTGTTGTCAAATATTGACTTTGTTGAATCCAGAATGTTGTTCAGCAGGCAATGCCACTGAATGCACAATGAGAAATCAAAAGGAAAAGACATTAGAACAGATTGCCAATGGACCTGAGTTCTGGTTTTCAGAGGTGTATTACTTACAGTTTCAAATATATGATTTAGCACATCTCCGGCAACTCACCCTTAATGAAGTGGAGGGGCTTATCAATTCCCAAATGTTTAGAAAGTTGCTGCAGGGACACCCGTTACATTACTAGGCATATAAAGATCTTGTATAACATGGCATAATGGTTCCATGACTTACGGCTGCTCTTGGCTTGTGGTCAAATCAAATCTTGGGAACACGTCCTGGATCCTCACCGTAGATACTTTGATTAGTTGGGCAAGCACAGTCTTGTATAACAATTTTCTTCAACCAACTTTGGTAGCTTCTCATACATTTTCCTCATGTATTTGGTTGTTATTCTGTACATTCAGTGAAAAACTCGTATTTAGGGCTTTTTATATATAAAAACCAATTTGCTAGTGAATCTAATAAAGACTTCTTTTTTTAAATTCTGAAATTATTTTAAATAATCTTAGAAGCCAAGGAAGAGAAGAAAGAGCCTATTTTGTAGGTCTTATAATGTTATCTGGGTAATAATGGGTAAAATGTGAAGTGACTTTAAAACTTTAAGAATACAACTTCATCACATATCACAAAATTTGAGTTACCTATTGATTTACCTCTGGCTGTATGTATAAGAAAGAGAGATTTTGTGACAAGGTTCAAGGAAGAAGACACATGCATTCTTTGCTTCTGCTTGGTTTTTGCAAGATCAAAACATTGAGGGCACCTGAAGATGTATGACCAGCTTAAAATAAAAAGTTCTGCTCATTCTGACTCCTAGTCGCCTGTTGTAATTTAAAACCTTCTGATTGGATACAGATGCAGTATCATAGAGCTGGAAGGGGCCTTAGAGATCATCTAGTCCAGTGTTTCCCAACCCAAACTGTACAACGGACAGGTAAAAGATTAAATTGTCTATAGACAGTCTTCTACCCTCCCTAGCTCAGGGGTAGGGGGGGAGTTTTAAGAAGTGAGACTTGCTAGTAATTTTGTGAACTGGTAAGAATGTGTTCCAGATCAGTCAACAAGCATTCATTAAGCATGTACTGTTTGCCAGGCGCTGTGTAACCGCTGGATGGGCACTTAAGAAACCCTGACCTAGTCAAACACCCCCCCCCCTTTTTTTTTTAAACAAACAAAGAAGCTAAGGGCCAAAGAGAACTTCTGACTTCTCCGTGGCTACACAGTAACAGAACTAGAATTAAAATTCAGATTTCCAGTCTGCCATACAAGTATTCTTTCTGTTATGCCAGGGCTTCACTAGTATTGGTTTTATTTACTTTCTAGAATACCAGTCTCATAATAAAATAATCACTTTATGGTCTTTCTAGCTATGTTAGTGATGATTTTAGGTAATTTCCCTTTATCTTCTCTGTATTCAAAACCTCATGTGAGACTTAGGGCCCCACTTAGCTGCAGGTGGAAAAAAAAAGCAGCAGGAGCCAGAGCTTGTACATTGAGACCTCTTTTTGCTCCAAAGGAAGTCAAAATTTCATTTCTTTTAATCTACTTAAACTCAAGTACTCAGTCCTAGCTCTGCCATTTGTGTGACTATTTAATGTCTTAGGGTTTCAGTTTCTGTTAAGTAGGGGTGAGGGAGGCGGGGTGTATGACTAGATAGGTTCCAAGGTCCCTTCTAGTTTTGACTCTATGCATATTCTGTAATCTTTTTTAAAAATTTTTTATTAATTAATTTTGATTTATCTGCAATCACTTCCATATGCTTTTGAGTTTAAAATTTTTCTCCCCCTTCCTCCCCACCACCCTCCCCAAGATGGTGCACAAATGATTCTGTAATGTTGAATAATGTTCAACCCCACTCAGACATAAGTGAGGGAGGTGAAGGTGGTGGCAAAAGCAACCTCTAGGCAATCAGCAACAATGAAAATAGCTGAAAACAGCCAAACATTGAATATTCATTATGTACTGAGATTACTTTCTAATTAATCAACAAGCATTTTATTAGGCGTGTACTGCATGCTAGGCACTGGGGAAGTAGATAAAAATTACAATTTTATCCTTGGGATACCTTCTAGGAAAGGTAGGGAAACATAACATGTAGACATATAAGTAAATATGTAAACATAAGTTAAAAAAGTGTAAACAAAATAAATGAGGTAGTTGTTGGGCGGAAGTGGTAGAAGGACCTGGGGAGATCACTGCAGGTTTCAGGTAGAGGTGGCATTTGAGCTAAACTTTTGCAGGGCAACTGGGGATTTGAAGAGGTGAAAGTCAAGATGGAATAAATGGGGGATGGAGTGTGTGCACAGAGACAGCAGGTGGAATGTCATGTATATGGAACAGCAAAAAAGTTTGGCTGGAATGTAGAATGCATTTTGTCCTTGTATCCCCAGCACTTAACAATTGTTGGCACATAGTAGGAACCTCATAGATTAGCATCTTTGGTGGGTTGGAGACTTCCTAAATCAGAAGGAACCAATTGTCTGTAAAAGATAGTCCATAACATGAAAACTGAGAGAAGTCAATCCAAAATCATGTATTGAAACACCTACTATGTGCCAACACACATTGAGGATGCAGAGACAAAGATCACTGACCCTCAAAAAACTTATTCTAATTCTTAGAATAGAGGAGCACTACGTGAATATAAATAGATTTTAAAAAATAAATACAGAGGGAGGGCCCTGGCACCTGAGGGGGTTAGACATCGAGAAAGGTTTCATGTAGAAGGTCACACTTGAACTGACTTTTGAAGGAGAACCAGCAGTTCCATGAGGCTGAAGTGAGGAGTGCATGTCAGGCATGGGGAAGAGTCAAGTACGAAGGCCCAGAAACTGGACATGGAATGTCCTGTGTAAGCAACAGCAAGAAGGCCAGCATAGCCAGGCCATACGGAGTATGTAGAAGAATGTAATGTGGAACAAGTCTGGAAGGGGGCTAATTTATGAAGAGCTATAAAAGCCAGTTTTAAGAGTTGATATTTCATCATCCCTTCTTTCTAATCTTCAATATCTTTCTATCCTTGGTTCCTTCCCTACTGTCTTCAAACATGTTCATTTCCCCTGTCTTTGAACCTTCACTAGGACCCTACCCACACCCTGAAGTTGTGGTCTTATATCTGCCTTTACCATTTTTCAGCCACATTCCAAACTGTTCCTCAGTCTCTTTGCTCCCCTTTTCTTCTGTCTCCATATACACTTGGTAACCCCATTGGCTTCCATGAGTTGATTGTCATCTCTATACAGATGACTCATAGAGCTCTATAACTAGCCCTATTCTCTCTTAAACTTCAGTCATTTATCAGATACCTATTGTACATTTCAGGCTGGGTTTCCCAGGAACATCTCTAATTTAACATATCCAGAACTGACCTTGTTAGTCCCAGAACCCACCTCTCTTCTAAACATCTGTATTTCTGTCAAAGGGGCAACCATTCTTCCAGCTTATAAACTTGGCATTATCCTTGACTGTTTCCCCTTCCTCACCCACCCCAAGAGAAATCTGAGGGGCAAAGGTTAAAATTTCCAAGCATATCAATTTTTTTATTTAAGCAAGGCTAACAATTGCCAATAAATTGGGCCCAAGACCTCCTCAGTAGATACAACACCATTTGGCGGTTTACACAGCATTCTTGTAGTCAATAAACAGAAACAAATCAAATGACATAATCTTGAGCAACATAGGTGTTCCTTCATTCTGATTGATTAGCTAGTGATTGATGCAATTTTTGTGGTTAAAAAGAGAAGTTAAACAGAAAAGTTGATGTAGGAACATTTGGGGACAAGGAATTTGAGGTTTGTACCCTAGTTTTCTGGAACATTCTGTGGTTATTACATTCTCAGAATTATATGAACAAATCTTTTACAAAAATACATGTCACAAAATAGGGAACATTGACAAGAGTCTAGTGATCAGTCTTATAATGAATATGAATTGAATTTGGTTTTCACAATTCCCCCCTTTGATCCTTGAGGAACCTGTTCCTCATGGATCACTTATACATGAGCTTAATGTAATGTAATTAGAATTTACATACGATCAGCATCCTAAACCATCATATGTTTCTGTGGAATCAAATTAGAAGAGACTTTAGTGGTACAGTTGATACATCAGTTAATATAGAACAATTATAGAACAATATAATCAATTTTCCCCTTTTGGGGCTTTCCCAAGCCCAACATTCTTGTAGTAGTGAAAGCATAATTACAGAAGCAGAAAAGCTGGATTAAGGTACCAAAGGGAGTTCATTTAAACAATATGAATCAATGGATTCATCATCCTTAGTATCCATCTTATTCGTTTCAGAAGGAATAGGGACCAGACTGGTCAAAAACTTTTCCCAGTGTCTTATCAGAAACAAGTGCACAGTGGCATGTATGTCACAAATCGTTATCATAGGATAGTAAGAACTCATTTGATTGTGATTGTCAATAAACTCAGCAAACAATAAAAATCATGAAACAAACAAAAAAGGCTGAAACAGTATAACAGTCATCATCATTAAACCTGCTCCCAGTGTCCATTCAATCAGCTTGTTTATCTTGAGTCCCACAGGCACCAAGTTTGGGTGTTCACCATGAAGTTCATGTTGACTACTTCTGCATAGGTCATGAGAATGAGACCTATTCCAGATAACTACCTGGGACATCTGGAATAGGTTTCACTCTCAGGGAAGCTCTGAAGAGGACCCTAGCAGATCTACTTCTCTGGTTCACTAGCTGGGATTCCTAGGTAATCCTACTAATATTTTACAGTAACAAAACTCAATACAATTTAAATTTGATTTGATTTAACCAAGTTTATGTGATCAATTTTGCTGTTTCCATCTTAACCTAAACCCTATATTTGATAAGGACGATTTTGAAAACTTTACTTTTTCCTAATTCTTATTTTTCTAATTCTCCCCTTAGGAAGATATCACAGATCACCCTAAAGAATGAGATACTTCAAGCTCTTAATCTTTAAAGTATTTGCTTGTTTGAGTGCTGATTTGAGATTTTATAAATAAAACCAATAAATTACTTCTTAATCTTGTCCCATTCAAAACCAGTTATTTTCTGAACTATTCTATTGATATATGACAAATATTTCAAGCACTGAATCAAACAAATTCAGTCAGTTGCCCTGATTATAGAAATTTACTACAAGAGAAAAAAGAGGGACATGGTTATATGACTGTCCCCTCAAGGGCATAAGCCATAATATGGGAAATATTCCCTTAGCTCTGTTTGATTTCAGGCATGAGTCATATATCAAAATTCCACACTATTCATAGGGTATTATAGCCAGACTCAGAATTACTGAGGTGGAAAAATTTCCTGTTCAGAAAGTAAATAGCACTATGGGAAACTGAGTCCAAAAGGATCCTACCTTTGCCTATGCAAGGTTGTCCCCTAAATATCCCAGGTATAGACATCCACCTGTAGCAGTTCTCAGACTGTACTTGCCCTCTTTGGGCTGCATTGGCATTCACCTTTGAATGGTGGATTATTGGCTTCTTGACAATTCAGATCATCATACCTGAAATCAAAACTTAGAAAAATATCCAATTACAAATCCCACAAGATTTTACCTCAAATGACAAAATTTTACTAATTACAGCTTTAAAGCTAGGTTATTATTCTTTCTCTCATTCCAATATATATGGTAGACAAAGAGAACAAATAAGGAAATTTCATTTATCCTTCATTTATTCTGGAGTTTCACACATAGATAGTGAATACTAGTTTATACATATAGTGAATGTTTGGTGCAAAACCCCCCAGAAAATTCTGCCTTTAGTAAGCCTTCAGTATTGCCTGTTCACCCATAGGGCAAGATTAAAATCTTTGAATTTAAGATCTGATAACATATAACACTTATTAATAGGTACGATTTCATAATTTGCAGAAGTAACAACCAAATATTTTAAGATGCAAACTTGTAAATTTCCCTACT